GGGAGCATGTTATGTCCTTAGCTAAAAAAACGTATGGTCGAATGAGAGCGTTATATGCCAATCGCCACCTACTGAACTTTAAACTGAGAAAAAACTTTGTGAGTCTCTTGTGTTGCCAATTCTCAGTTATTGTGATATTTAATATTACCCATGTCTTGATGAACGGATGAAAAGCAGGCTTGAAATAATTCAAAACAATTGCATTCGCTTTATTCATGGATTGAGGAGATTTGACCATGTTAGTGACAAATACAGAGAAATGAAATGGCTACGAATTGATAAACATGTGCGGTGCAAATACTTAGTGTTTTTGCACAAGTTGATAGCTGCGTCAAGACCTGCATACCTGAGAGAAAAGGTCATATTTAATCGAGAAATTCATGACAGGATTACCAGGGACCGTATTATGGTCAGGATACCTCCACACTCTATGACACTCTTCAAGCGTTGTTTCTCGTATGATGCTGCCGTATTTTACAATGCTTTGCCCAGAAAGTACAGGGAAATGTCTTTTGCTAGTTTTCGAAGGCAAATCAAGCAATGTATGCTCACTCTTCCCTGATATTGATATGACTGATTTTCTGAGCCGTTTAGGCATACGTGTACATAGCGTATATAGTTGTAGTGTACTTTAATTTAGTTGATTAGTTATTTAACCTTTTTGTATTCCTTAGTGTTTCTTATATATTTTTTCTTTTTTGGAATTGCACACAACATCGTGCTTAATGTACAGACAAAGGTAGTTAGTGTAAGAGTAGCTCAAGCTAGGCGTTATTATTATTATTATTATTATTATTATTATTATTATTATTATTTCTGTCGGTCAGTTGATCTGTCGATCAGTCTATCGGTGTGTCTGTCTGTGTGTCCGCTAATCATTGTAACTTTGACAGTACTGTCTGGATTGATGAAATAAATAGGAATCAGTTAAACTCAGTTTTTTGACGTTTCAGAGATTCCTGATCGTATTTAAAAGAAAATTGTAAGGGTTAAAAATGGGGGGCAGGAGGATGTAGCGGGTGGGGGAGGGCATATCCCAATGTTAGCGTATTTGTACGCTTCCAACTCCGGAAATTTTATGCACACATTTGTCCTTAAAACTTAGAAAAATATTTATAGATGCTTCTCCTGTGTCTGTTGCGAGTGTCCTTCCTCCGTGCATCAAGTCTCGTCTACGTATGACTGCACCGCTGGCGTTCTCGATCTCGAGTTATAGCAGCCTCGCTCTAAAATAAAGATAAATATCAAAAATACACAACATTCGTGGCCACTTTCATCGTCGCTTACAGCACAATTACAGACAGAACCAGGAAGCTGGAATTATTATATACTAGGTGTTTCACAACTTATCCGACAAATTTTAACCACATATGCACTGTTACGAGAAAAGTTGATTTCTCAAAAAAGCATCAATAATAAATTGAAAAATAAATATCTGTATTTTGCGTTCATCTTTGTGATATTAGAACATGCATTAATAATTTATTGTAGCAAATGTTGCACCAAACAACTGAAGAAAACGAAGTACCAGGAATTTTTTGTTTTTTCATGCTGATAAGAACGTTTATCTTACTATCTTTTTTTTACTATCTTTTTTTTGTACATAAGATTTAATCTGTATCGCGGGTGATCTGAATGAAGAACGGTTGATTTTTGTGAATTAGAGAGTATTTTGCGAGTTTATGTTTTTAATTATTTATTAATAAAAATTGCACATGTGTACACTAATGAGGAGTTCGTGAACACATTGTTTTAGCGTACGGAGAAGCAGGTCAAAATTCGCGAGCGGCTTTAGTTCAATTACTTTACATGCATGTGCTAGTGGAGATTTTCCCCCAGACGTGGATGGGGGTCGGGTTCGCCCACAACGCGTTTCAAATGCCGAAGAGGAAATTTTGGATATTGTGGAAGAAAATCCGGGAATAAGCACAGGGCAGTTGGCCGAACAGGTCCCAAAAGTATCGCATGCATGGCGTATATTACATGAGGCCCAACTGTACCCTTATCACTTCCAGAGAGTCCAGGCGTTGCTACCTACAGACTACCCCCTAAGAGTAAGGTTCCTCACGCAGTGCTCCAGACGCACTTCCAACATCGTTTTTTTAAAGTGTGGCAGGGATTCTCGATGAACGTCTAATTGGACCGTTGATTTGCCGGTCCTTTTTGAAGATGTGCCACTGGCGGTCCGAACACATATGTGGTTCCTGTACGATGGGGCACCTCTGCATTTTCGCTTAGAAGCTCATGATTTTTTGAATCGGGTATATCAGATACGCTGGATCGGAAGGGGTGGACCAATTGCATGGCCTTCACGGTCTCCCAATCTAAATCCTCTGGACTTCTTTTTATGGGGCTACTTGAAAAACAAGGTATACCGTACTCCAGTTAAGAATATTGAAGAATTGCGTGACCGAATCACAGTGGCTGCCGATAATTTGAGCCTTCAGACTCAGCAGGAAGGAGGTGTATTTGTAGCGCCGAAATTGGATTAGACGCGCCCAAGCTTGCATTGCAGTCAATGGAAACAATTTTGAACAGCTCTTATAAGTAAGTGAACTGTTAGACTGTATTATTTTATTATCTCGATTTCTGAAGGACTCTTATTACAATTTTTTTTCTTTGAGAAATCAACTCCTCGGATAAGGTGTGAAATACCCTGAATACAGTCATGAGCGTCATCTTATCTGTAATTTTACATAGAGTTTAGCAATTTTATATAGTTGAGGTACCATTGTAAGTGCAATGGAATAGTGAATCACTAGTTAGTAATAGCTTCAAAAGCTTGTACTCGTAAGTCGAGAGGCGCCTTACTAAATTCCTTCTTGAAGTTATGACTGGAAGTACTTTGGAAAAGTTCTTGATATATATTCAACAAAAATTTAAGCCTGTTTAAATTTAGATGTTACATGGCCTGGAATATTATAACAATCATTTTAGAAAAATATAGCGAAAAGAGGATCTCTTCTCTATAACATTATATAGATAATTTGGAGATTTATGTCTTGAAACTTTATGCAATGGAGCACCATAAAAAAGCAATGAACGTTATATTCTAAAATATTTTGTCTCACATAGAAATCAGTTACGCTCTCTTGTCTGCTTATATCACTACATGATATAACAAAATCATACGCAACGATTGTAAAGTTTGAATTCTTTGTTTTATTTCCTCTGTGAAAAAGTTATAATAAACTCTGACACCATAATCCAAATGTGTAAGTATCAAATCTGTAAATAAGAATACTTTTGAAAACTATACAAGATACAATTTTGAACCTTCAAATAATATATCAGGAACTAATACTGAGCATTTTGCCTAATTTTTAGATGGTCAGTTCGATACAATTGGTTGATATTAAAATTTGTTCTCCGTTTTTTCGTTTTCTCGAGTTTATTTTCCAATATTTTAAACTCGCAGTCGTTTTCATCGTACGAGATTCGGAAAAGAGACTTATACTAGATTAATACTTTTAGAGAATGAGTCCATATAATTATATTACGTCGTATAGAAACTGGATTATATAACCTACTTATTTGACAAAGTCATACAGTCATCAACATTGCAGTCATTTAGCACATGCTACAAACTCACTAGTCTAAGTCAGTTTGAAACACAGTTGTGTCTCTAGTTTGTGTGCTAACTTTGTAAATAGTTCAGCGCATTCCAGTATGAAAAATATTTTTTATAAGCTTTGAAGCTCATGTGTAAAAATTTTCGCTCTAAATTTGTATACATAAGGATATAAAGAAATCCTTAAGGAATTTTTTTTCTTTGCAACAAAATGTGATAGACACAACCCGTATGTTTTAAAATGTATATAATAACGTATGTTTTCCAAATATCGTAGTGAATATGTTCATTACTCACTAATACGAAATGTTTGAATTTGTTTAGAAGGAAAAAGCGTAACCCTTCGTTTTTCGCATAAAAATAACAATTATGTTTCGGATTGGCTTGTGATTTATGCCAGCGAGGTAAACTCGTGTATTTTGCTATAAAATATCTTTTGCACGAACTCTGGATATTGTTCAGTAAACTAGTAGTGAAGGCCGGAAGATAGGTATTTTGGGATTAACAATTAGAAATTCTCAAAAATTATTTCACCAATCAACTTCAATTTTGTTGTTGTTATTTAGAAGTACGAAGCCTACGTACTTAAAGAATTTCATGTAGCTGCGTGAAATTATCGTCGCATTAGCAAGAAGTACCAAAACCTGCATTTTGTCTCTGTTTTCGGCCATAAATCTTTTAATATTACTGAGACCTTTTTACCTGTAGGTCTCAAAAATACCTAAAAATCTTATTTGAAGAGTTTTTTCGTTCCTGTCGATTGAATCCCAAAAAACACGTTTTCTCATTCTTTGTTGTCAAATAAAAAGTTTTCCCACAAACATTAGTTTTCCCCTTTTTATGCGTCTATCTTTTAAATACCCCCTTGAACAACTTGCACCAATAAAACCGGAATTTACATTATTTTGGGCTAGCTGCGTCCAGATTTAGTAGACCACAGCATGTTAACGCCACATGTACTGAATTTTGTTTGTACTTGGTACATTCACCATTTTTGCTACAGTCATGGCAGTTGAAATGCTAGACAGCGGGTTTGAATTGATGTGTTGTCTTCGATAACTGATACGAGGGATGTCTTTTAAGTTTTGCATACGGAAATAAAACAACACGGTAGGTAGTTTTAAATGACTTTATTGTTTTTAGAAGTCTTCTCCACGAAGATTAATACACATCTGCATGCGCGCGAACCAATTTTCGGAGCACTTATTCCACTCGTTTGCTGGCAGATCCAAAACGGCATCTTTGAATGCGCCAACTGCTTCTTCTGGTGACTGGAACCTTTGACCACTCAGTCTGTTTTTAATTTACGGGAAAGTAAAGAAATCGTTAGGACTTAGATCGGAGGATGGTCCAATAATTCCACGTTTTCTTCCGTTAAATACTGCCTTGTTTTTTGGGCTGTGAGCGAGCTTGCATTGTCTTGATGGAGGATGATTCTTCTTTCGGCGTTGATTTTTCGAAGCTCGGTGATGATTTTTGGCAAACAAATGGTGGTATACCAATCCGCAGTAACAGTTACTTGCTCATTAAGAGGAATTGTTGTAATACACACATGTCGCGACCATCTTTTTCGAAACACTTCGAGAACGGATGAGTTTTGTTGGCTTTCCTTCACTTTGGAACCCAGAAACAGCCGACTGTCGTTTATTTTCTGTTTCATAACAGTAAATAAACGATTCATCACCACTAACACTGCTGTTCACATTTTTTGAGTTTCCGGAATTGAAACGGTCAAGCGTTTTTTGACACCAATTCACCCTGGCTGCCTTCTGCTGTTCAGTCAACAGGTGGGGTATCCAATGAGAAATTAATTTCCTTACTCCTAATTCTTCATGTAAAATTTTTGAACTGAGGTCTTTGAGATCTGTAAGGACGTCTCAATCTCGCGATATGTCACATGTCTATCTTCAATGATGAGTTTGCGCACAGCATCGACGTTTTCCTGGGTGACTGCCGTTTTTGGTGCACTCACACTGGAATCTTCGCTTGAGACTAACCCGTCCACCTTTGAATTCTCCATACCAACGGGAAATTGTCGATTGATGTGGCGCTTCGTTGCCGAAAACAGACAGTTACTCATCACAGCATTCTTGTTGCGATAATTGTCTTTGAAGGTTGTAATAATTTATTTAGTGAAAATGTTCCATTTTTCTAATGACTTGGTGACACTCAAAGTGAAACTTTGAATTTAAGTTTAATAAAGAGTGAGGTTAAGATTCAGTAATGACGTTCGATCCGCGCGGCCTACTATGTTTCTATATGCAAAACTTAACCCGTAAGTACTACTAACCAATATTTATTCCATTACTGCTACTATGGGGTCCCACGGACCCATTTCAATTGTTGTTCATAAAAACTCCGTAAGCGAGAAATAAACAATTTATTCTTTTGCCAAAGTTAAAATGTTTAATATATAAGTTATTTACAGAAATAAAGCACATCAAATACAGTTGTTACATATTATTTTGGAACAGTAAAGGCAAACAGGTATTTTGCAAGTTGAAGATATATTACTCGTCTTTCTATCCTTGTTTCGTGGACATAAGCGGCATCTCGGTCTTTTTGACCTGCTTGGTATTTTATTAGGTTCAGTAGGTTCTTCAAATGCCAACCTCAATATGTCAGCAGCATTCATTCGGATTTTGCGCGGTACATTTGTATTATAAATTCTAGCCGTTAGGTGAGGTGTGTATAGCTGCCTTCCCAGTTCTTTCAGGTATTCATATCGAGATACTTCTTTACCTGCTTGCGCAAATTGGTACACGACTCGACTGTTAACTCCTGCAATATTCAGAATTGCATGAAACAGGACCATGGGCCAACGTCGAGTTCTTCGTGACGTCGAGTACGTAGCACATTTTTCATCGAGAGCATCTACGCCGGCTTTTGTTTCATTATAATACAGAATTATTTCTGGTTTCTTACGGTCTCCATCAGTGCAAGCAGTGTGATGCATTGTTGACAATAATATGACAGATTTACCACGTTTAGGTACATAGCGCTAAATCCAAAAAGCGAAGAATCCACTGATCGAGAACGATTTGGAAGAAATTCGGGTGGAATCGCTCGCTTATTTTTTTTCATAGTTCCAACATATGTGAAACCTTTACTTTACAGAGCATCGACTAGTTCAATTGATGTGTACCAGTTATCACCAGTTACATTGCGGTTAGTGTTTATAATCGGCTCCACCAAACGTAAAACCACATGAGTCGGGTGGGTAAACTTTGTTCTATCTTCACCTGGGTTTTTTCCTGTATAAACTTCAGCGTTCACAGCAAAATGTGTTTTAGAATCGGCTAATATCTGAATTTTTATGCCATATTTGGCCGGTTTATTGGGCATGTACATTCGGAATTTGCAACGGCCTCTAAAAGGCACCAACATTTCGTCCACAGTTACATTTATCCCTGGAGAATATACTCGCTTACAGTTATCAAAAAATATCTCAAAAATATTGGAGAATGCAGCAAGTGGGTTGTTTTTCATTCTTTCAGACCTTGTGGCCGGATCATCAGATCTAAGGGCACAAAGTAGGAATGAAAAACGTGCAAGTGACATTGTGCATCTGAAAATTTCGCGTCCTGTGCCGTCTGTGGCCCATAACGATCTCAAGTCTTCATGATTTGATTTGAATAAACCTTGCATGTATAACAATCCTATGAAGGCTCTCATTTCGGTAAGGTCCGTGTTATGGATAAAAGTAGGTGAATATACCTTTCTTGCATTTTTTCTCGTCTTGAACTTTTTGTATTTACGTCTCATGCTATCAATTTTATTATTTGAATGTTGCACAACCATTTCCAAAGTATCATTTGTGAAAAGAAGTTCCCATGTCTCTAATGGTGTTTGCGGTGGGCTGTTTCGAATTTGACCTTTTAGCCCAGGTAGCACAGCTACGATGTTATGGGACAAAGTTCTTGTACGTCCTGGTGCTTCCATGGACCACTTGGTTTTATCCATCCCGTAATAATACATGCTGGATTTTGTTACCTTTGATGATTCAACTTCTTCCTCATCGTCACTTGGGTTCCATTCTAGCTCGCTGTCAGAATCATGTTGACTGAGTATCTCTACATCTTTTTCATCAGAGTCACTTTGGTCGCCTGTATCTACTATTTGTTGAAGTGTATCTAATTCATCGCTTGCGCTGGCATCGATTTCATCATTTTCGCCTATATCGCTGTCATCCCAAAAATTATCACTCTCTATTATCTTCCTCAAGTCATCATCTAATAGTTTCGATTTCCATGATTTAGCCATATTGCTTATATCTGAAAATCATAACAACACTGTCAAAGGTTGAAGGTATGCAAAAATATTACATGGAACTCTGCAATCACATCGTAATAAAGATTTATTGATGAGTATATTTATGTATAATATAATACTATACCCAGTATTCCATAATTAGTCTCTAAATATGATCATAGTAATAATGAAATAGAATACTGCATTACCTATTTTTATCACACTTTGACTACTATGGGGTCCGACGGACCCATGCTACGTCACTGTGGCCCACGTTCAAATCAGGCAGATACACTCACTGTCGCGTTGGAGGGTGCACTGGCACTGGAATACATAGCCAGAGCGTCGTTACCCCCACTCTTTTATTTTTTGCGGAATCAGCCGCTAGTAATATACGAGGGGTCCCGGAGACCCCGATAGTAGTACTTACGGGTTAAAAGACATCCCTCGTATAGATGGAAAAAGAAAATGTTCAACAGTAGTATTGATGGATGCCAGTACGGACGGTTTGGGGCTGTATGATTATAATAACAAGTATCCATTTTTGAGAAAATAATAATAATAGTCGTATCGGCTATTTTGCAACTGGACCCTAGACATATAACAAATATTTGAAGATATACCTAGTACCTAGGCTTTGGAGCTGTATGGTTATAATGACATTTATCCATTTGTGAGAAAATAATAATAATAGTCGTATAGGCTATTTTATAACTGGATCTTAGTCATATAACAAATATTTGAAAATATACCTAAACATTATAGAAGAGAAAAATGCATCGGTGCATCGCTAGATCACATTTTTCAGACCACTAAAATATTCAAACGTCAAACGGAAAACGTTGAACCACCACAAGTATAAGTGACAATGTAAGAGAAAAAAGGAATAAACGACGTATCAGGCATTACAACTGAAGAAAAAAGGTCATATTTTAGATGTAATAGGTAGAACCCATGATATTTTGGTCAGCAATTCAACGGGTATTTACGCTGATTGCACGCTACCCCTTTATCATCATAACTCATATCTACATACACATGCCGATTAGACAACCAATCTCGATATCCCCGGCGGAGCGCTTTTCAAGCTTGTATCGACGTAAAAGCATGTTGGTGCGTGTACAAAGTGTGTGTATGATGCTGCAGGCAAAGCACATAATGTCGCCTTTGTTGATCTAGCACATTCAAGGGAGAAACAAAAGGTGTGTTCCCGTAGCACCCCTGATTGTTGCTCTTTGCACAATGCACACAGACAGCGTCGTATTGTTATATCACTGCTGGGATTGAGGACTTAGATCATCTTGTATCCCGTGAGAGTAAGTTACAAACTTTCTCGGTTCGACACCCACCGCTTGGATGTTATCTAAGTAAGAATGCTTAGAATTGTGTTTCGGAATTCCTTTATTGCCGAACGTTTCAGTGGCAGTTGTAGAACTTTCTCGGCATATTTTAATTTCAGAAAAAAAAAATCAGATGGATTTTACATTGGAAGTTAAATGAAGAGACCTGTTCTAGAGATGCAAAAAATTATTTAAACACCAGTTATCATAAATTACAATTCAATAGATATATAGACATTTATTTCCAACAGGTACATGTGCACCCAAAAACAGGAAATATGCGTAAAATCAAATGAATATTCTATTTAATGTAGAGGAAAAAATATAAATGAGGTTATATAACAATTAACACTTGAATAATATAAAAAAGACGTTTCGAAAAAGTTACATATTAAATGTGATCTGCAAAATAGAACTATAAACTAGCAAGATAGGGAAAAAATTGATGTCACAGCTGTTACATATCACATTAAAATTTAGCTTAGCTAAAATGTTGGTTCTAGTGCATTCACAATAAAATACTCTAGAATTTCTGGTGTTGCGTCTGGGCACGGTAAATGGAATTTTACCTAACAAAAATTCACATATTATGTCCCCATGAATGAGTTTGCACAAGAAACTCGTTGTTAGAAAGATACGTCGTGTGGTAAGAGAAATAAAGTTTGCTTCATTAAGCAGTAATCAAATCCTCTTTCTTAAAATGCATAAATTTCAAAAATTTTTTCTGAACACGTTCTATCTTACTAATGTGTGTTGCGCAATGTGGGTACCAAATCAAGATACCATACTCCAACTTGCTACGTACATAACTTGTACAGGGTGACTTCGAAGTCGAGTCATTTATTTTAACAGTGAGTAGATCTGATCAAAAGAAATGTTTTTTTCCTTTACCATTTTTCTGGTAAAATTAAAGTAACAAAGTTATAGCCCTTTGGAAGTTTGAGTACCGCCCTGTCTCAATAATAATATTATGTGCTCGTGTTTGGCAACAACGGATATAATCCGCCTTATCCGTTCATCGCATCGGAAATAAAAAAGCGAAAGAATTTGGAACGATGTTTTTACAATTATTTTATTCAGTTGTATACAGTCAGAGTCAGTCGGTAACGCGTGAGTGAATAGTGGTGTCTGTTGCGTGGCTCAAACGAAATCAAAAATGGCACATGTTTGCGGATCGGTTTTCCAATCGAGTGCAACCAACCCCTC